AATACTTTAGGACCTATTCTCATACCATACAAAAAATCATCAAAATCTGTCGAGCCGTTTCGTAGGAGTGCGACCACAAACACTGTGACACGAGATATATATTAGATAAAAATTATAAGTATATAAATAAAAATATCATCTTCATATAAATTATAGGAAAATATAATATGTTTTATGTATTCTAAGTAGGGACTAGCATTATTTTTATTATATGGAAATTTTCTTAACTACGCTAATAATAGTGCAGAAATATTGGTAGCTCATAAATAATATAAATAATACTAATTAAGATAACATTAATCGAAAAAAAAATATCCATAAGAAATTTTAAAATAATTTCTTTGTAATTAATGTCGATCGCAGTTTATTTTGGAAAAAGAATATATTATACAGATAATACATACACTGAAACTGTGGCGAGAGTGGGCGCTGTTCGTGATTGACGTTTCTACACATTTCGTCAGGTCGATGACCTTTTGGCATTCTTCAGGCATTTTTACGTGAATCGTCGTTTCTACGTAATCTGAAATCGATTTGTCAAAATTTACTATCGGTCATATTTTGGGTTAGATAACATGACTGTTGCTAAGTATAGGTTATTTTTGGATTATGATCGTTTTATTCATTGTAAACTAATGTGTATATATACATATTTATTAGTTTCAACATGAGCTCTGTTATAATTAGTCTGTAATTTGTGTTAAATGTTTAGATTTAATCAATTATTGTCCTTTTTTAAAGCTAATAATGTTTTTAATATAAATTTAGTTTTAAAATTAAATTTTTATATTATATGTTTATTTCAACCACTTCTAACGCAACAATAAAAACTGCCAGACTTTGTGAATTTTCTAAGTCCATATTAAGTGGGTTTTGACATCAGACTTAAGTAATAAGGTCGTTGACCACAGGTTCCGGGTTCGATACCCGGCACACACCTCTTATCGTGTGGTGACGTGAAAATGGTTTTTCCACACATACATCTAGGTTTTGATAAGCGCGAATTCGTAGATCTATCTAAAATATATTAACATAGTGAATTTGATTTCTATATATGTATAAGTATTTTAATTCTAAACGAAAATTAGCAAATAAAATTTGGTGAGATTAGGTAAGAATTTTGTAGCTAATTATTAAAGAAAACGAAGTACCGGAATAGAATTCAAAATATATGTAAAAACATTCCCTCAAATATAACGTTCGAAATTTTCAATTAGGTATATGTGTTACTATTTTTGCCCGCGAATTCTAGTATCATTTTGTTTTCTTTTTTTTTGCTTTAACGTTCTTTGACAGCGTCATATACAAACAAACTCACAACAAAAGTGTTGTTAAAACAATATTAAAATTAACTATATCCAACCCTTTCTGGGATAAAATTTGAAATCATCCCTCACTCGTCAGATGAAAAAAAGATAACCACTAGTTATTAATAGGTTTAAAATGAATATATTCATTTCATATTTTTACTATTATTAAGCTTAAATGAACAAAAATATGTTGTTGAGTTTTTGCTTTGGTAGGAATTGACTTTCTTTTTATAAGTAGAAATGTTTGAGTCGATATCTTTTATCTTGGTACTTTTCACCTAAGAAAATTAAGTGCTTGCTAAAAGCTAAATTGCGGGTTACTAGAAGCCATTTAATAAATGGTGGGTGGGGGGAAGGGGAGGGGGGTTTATGGGTCTGTAATTTGTATAGCAAAATAATATACCCATTATATTATCGTACCATTAATGTACTACATTAGGGTATTTCATTATATATATATATACATATATATATATATATACCACTTTGATTTATTTAATTACGTCTTTAGTTTAATTATGAGAATAACTAATCTATACATATAATAAATTTGTAACCAAGTCGAATCTGTACATTAAATATTTTTTTGGAAATCTTATTGAAATAGACATTATTATCGATACAGAGGCCGAATCTATAGTTTTTAGGATTTTTGTCTGTCTGTTACCGCATCACAGAAAAACCACTGGAGGGATTTTGATGAAATTTGATATGGTGATAGCTGGTTATCCGGGTCAACATATAGGATACTTTTTACCGCGGAAAGATGTCTCATTTCTGAGAAAAAATACAAAAACTGCAATGTAAGAGTATACTAATATGTAACACCTAATAGTTTGGTTCTTGGTCATCTGAACGCGGGCAATGCTAGTATATATATATATATATATATATATATATATATATATATATATATATATATATAGTTGTACATATATTTATTCGTTAATACACGTAACTTATAATGGCAGTTGTATGTTCGATCTACATTAATATTTTTTATGAAACAACAGATCATCGCTCCTGACCGATGTCTATTCAGATAATACGCGATTCATCATTATCAAGAAATGCTCAAAATGAAAAGCAAAAAAGCTTTGTATGAGTGGGAGAAGTTCTTTGAACTATTAATACATAGGCGAAATTAAAATAACGTTTTTCTAATATGAACCTTATTTTAATTAATTTAGGTTGAATTTTGTTTAACAGTTCTAATAAACTAATCTAGTTTTGACTTAGACGTTTTCTACGTTATATTAGAGCTAATGACTTGTCATACATTCAGAAATTTTTGCTTGTTAAATTTTGTCCAAAATTGTTGTTAGATGTTCCGAATTTTACTTTCTACTAGATAGCATAATAGAATACGTGCTGTGCTTTAAACGACATTGCACAAGTCCAAACACGATTTTCACATAGGATGTGACGCGGCTTAGTCCTGCGATGTCTATATACACTAAACAGAAGCTTTAACTAAAGTTAATTACGAGGAGCTCTGTTCTGTTTGCTTATATTCAACTAGAGCGGCACCAAAGCAGAGGTCCAAGAAGCCAATTCTAGCAACCCTCACACCCGCCCGTCGCTTCGATCCACGTATGAATATCGTGAGGTAACCTTTTAAACCGTTCCGCCAGTTAGCTGATGAAGAGATAAATTTAAGTATTCTTAACTGAATCGGACATTCATAACGGATATCGCTATATATTATTATATATTACAAACGCCAAAGTTTGTGAGGATAGATGTCTGTTACTCTTTCAGGTAATAACTACTGAACGGACTTTGATGAACCTTTCCAGTAATATAGCTTATACATCAAAGTAACACAGAGTAATACATTAGAGGAAGCTTAAAAGTAACGCCAGGAACTGAAAAGTTGAAAGGGAATCGTCTGATTTGGTAAGGACATGTGATGAGGGAGACGATGATCAGAGTAACATTTAAGCTATATTATATAATTACTAATCTAGTATTATAATAAATTCAAGTGCCTCACCGCCCTTTTTTTTAACGTTGGGAAATGCATTTACGCACGAGATGTGGAACTCACCGGCGTAATAAAGCCAGTACTACCGAAGGAGACCACTACAACCATGGGGTTGCTCCAAGGTCCACTCTGCTATCAGAGAAGTACCAGGAGCAACCTGCATGGTACACCGCCCACCGAAGTGGGCCGCCTCCCTGTGCGTTTCTTGGCTTCGCACCCGGTTGGATTGCCGGGCACTACTGAGCCTCCTCCATCACGACAAGGTGAACGCACGTTGGGGGGGAGTGCCGCACCGCCCTGAGTTAGTGTTTGTTCAGACTTATCTCAGAAAACACTGTACAGATTTTCATACAGTTTTCACCAATTGAAAGGGGAATAATCTAGGAAGGTTTTAAGCTCATTTATTAACATCTTTATATGTTAAAACGCTACCGTATAGTGATATTTGTAAAAAAAATCCTCCCATCTGAAAACTTCCGTAACATTGTGCTCGTAAATCTGTAGGGCAACTAGGGTCACTATATGATACCGACTGCCAATTAAACGACTTTATTTCATATATATATATATATATATATATATATATATATATATATATATATGTAGGTGCATTAAAAAACTTGGTCCCATCCGTATGTGTGCGACATATAAAGTGACATTCAACGCACAAGTCGCGAGCTGAACTGATTTTGGCAAAGAATTCCAATTATCGTGAACCGCCGTCACAAAGCATGGGAATAATATCGGACCTCATTAAAATTAGCACTCGATGCGATAAATGATTGCATGACGTCCCTTGCTGAACCAATTGTATGTATGACGAATGAGAGTGCAATTTTCCGAATAAATGAAAACTAAAATAAATGGTAAAGTTGAAATAATTAGAAAAGAAACAGAAATAGATTAAGTTTTTTTTGCTTCTTTCGCTTTTTTTTCAAAGAATATAATATAAAAAAATAAGAGAAATACCTAAAAATCTAACCTATTTAATTAGATTTTAAGGTATATATATATAACCGATGACTAATAATATCAATTAACAAATATATGATTAGATAACCAAGTTTATGATTAAAAATAAAAACAATGAATTTGCAATACACACCTACTATTCACATTTTTCTTCAAAATATGACGCCAGCACCTTTAATTCTTTTCATTATTGATAAAATATCGAAAATAAATAAACATATGACTCAAAATATCCTTAAAAACAAATAAAATAAATTATCAAAATTACTAAAACACGCACCTTAATTGGTCGTACGTGCAATAGTAAGACAGGTAGAGTCTACCCGCCCTGGTTATCGACCCCGCCGCGACTTAATGAACGCATGATTGATCTCGCTTGCAAGAAATTCGGAGCTTTTTACTTGCAGCCTCCTGCATTTTTCACTTGTGATGTAATTTTGTTATTATTAGCTTATTTATGTTCGTGTTTATTTTTGAGATAATATGCTCGCTCCATTTTTTCTCGTATTTTAAATAAAATTATGCGTAATTGAACGTGGATCGGTTGCTTTGGGTTTTTACATATTTTTGTGGTTTGCGTTCTTTAGAAATTTGCAAAATGATTTTTAACTTTAATTGATTTTGTTGAAAAAAACCTATTTTACAATTGAAAGTAAATACCAAACATATGTATTTATTAGTAAATAATTCATTATTAACGCAGGGGAATTTCGTTAAGGAGAAGTGAGAAGATGGCGAAGGCCACAAACGACTGTGGTTTTAGTATAACACAAAATTTACTTATTGCTCGTAAGTACGTACATATGTATGTATGTGTAATACCGACACAACTTTTAACGCTGTAGGCTTTATAATTTATTTATTTAAATCTAATAAAAATTAATACTTAACAACAAACCATTATTAGATGCACTAGGAACTTTCCACCAAGGCCAGAAAATCTGGATGAACCAGAAATAGCTGTTCCCAAAGCAATGAGATCAGATGGTAATATTTTTGTTGGAGTTCCTTCACCCGCTCGTGGGTGGCTAACGTTGAGACTACGAAAAGCATGGAGTGCGTACATTGCATAGATTTTTCGCTAGATACCAATTCTGGACTGCAGAAAATCGTGAATCTTAAATTTAACTAAGTAGCTTTATACTTTTTCGTGTGTGAACTGAAAGTATCCATTCTGTCCCGATTTAGCTTGTTCTAAAGTGGCCAAGTAAATCGAAGTCACTACCTTACAAAGCCGAGGTGTTTTAACACTGAGCTACATTTTTCATAAATTACAATTTCTTCACAAATCAGTTCTTCATAAATTTTAAATTACTTACTATCTATCCCCTATTTCGTAAGGTAAGATGACAAAAGATTTATTTTTAACAAGACTGGTAGTTCCAGATATTAGCGCGTTGAAACAAACAAACACTCCAGTTTTACGTAATATTTAAATTAAATATTTAGCCTGCTGAGTTCTACCGAAAGGACGGTTTTACTTTATATCTAAATAACAATTCGTAGAAAGAATACAAGTTCTAAGAATAACTTATTTGACATTTTTTTTTCTGGAAGTTTAAAGAAAAAAATAGATGCAAATAACACCGAATCGTAGAAACACAAATTTGTAGACAAATATTTATAAAAAAATCGAATAACACACATTAATATGATGGTTAACCAACAAACAACAATTATATGTTAACTATGTATACATATAATAAAATTGTAACTAAGTCGAATCTGTACATTAAATATTTTTTGGGAAATCTAATTAAAATAGACGTTATTATCGATACAGAGTCCGAGTCTATAGTTTTTGACTTTTTGTCTGTCTGTCTGTTACTGCATCACGAGAACATCACTGGACAGATTTTGGTGAAATTTGGTATGATGATAGCTGGTTATCCGGGTCAACATATAGGATACTTTTTACCGCGGGAAAATACCTCATTTCTGAGAAAAAATACAAAAACACAAAAATTGCATTGTAAGAGTATACTAATATGTAAAACCTAAGAATTTGGTTTTTGGTCATCTGAACGCGGGCGGAGCCGCGGGCAATGCTAATTACTCGTTGGACTAACTAAATGGTAGATTGAACAAAAATGTTCATTTTGCAAATTATTTAATTTTGCCAGTAACCAGAAAATTGTAGTAAATTTTGTTAAATACTATTCGAAAATTAAGCTAGCATCTGTCAAAATTGTGAAGATAAAAATAAATTATTCTAACGAAGAGCTTAGGCGACAGGAAGACACGAGCATTGCTCTTTTACATCCATCCAAATTTGAAACGACGTATCGTAAATAAATATCATGTATTTTTAAAAGCATTAGAGATTTTAACATTCTGATGAAAAAGCAAACTATTTTAAAATAAAATGTAAGCGAAAATCAAAAATGATCATATTTATTTTAGCGTAGATTTTGCTTCCAAAAGGTCTTTTAAAAATGTTTAAGCGAAATAAATTAGTACATGTATGTTATCAACATTTAAAAATTATCTTCATAATGTCTTAGCTTATTTAGCCTTACTTTCAAAGAATTCGCTATATAATATTTGCTGTCTAGTCCTTCTTTCTTTGAATTGGGTTACTTTTTGCATAACTTGCGGTTCAGATAAATGTATTCAGCCCGTTTTAACGTCCCACTGCTGGGCATGGGCCGCTTTAAAAGAAGCCCCCTTGTTCAGTTCAGGCTATAGCCCACCACGCTCGCCAAGTCCTGGTTGGCGGACTTCACATGCTTGAAAACTTGCTAGGCTCTCTCAAACATGCAGGTTTCCTCACCATGTTTCCCTAGTGATAGATAAATACTAAATTTTATCACGATACATCAAAAAATGTTCTAATAAATCTGTTGCTATCTATTTAGGAAATGGTTTGATAATAAGTCATTAACTAGATTATAAATTTGAATTTAAGAAGAAGCTGCTTTGGGTGTTTATAAATTCGTAGAAGGAGTTTGCAATCATAATCTTTACGATGATCATAAAAATAACATTCAAACGTTTATGTGCGTTGAATAACTCTTAATGACAAGCAATTTTTCTGACTTTCTATCTGTTTGTTTATAGGAGCTCAGTATTTTAAATATAGGTACAACATTAATAATATAGTAGATAGAAAAATGGCACAGCATGATCAGAACCAAAGTGATCATATATCAAGTAATTTATATATGTATGTTATTTAAATCAAAATTTATTTAATTTGATTCGAATATTTAAAGGAATGATTTCCATACTTGACAATGGATTTTATTTCATTAGTACCGTTCTTGTTAAAAATTGATTTGTTATAATATTCATTCATTTAATTATATTTACAATTATAATAACTTGAATTAAAACATTTATCTATACTTAATATTAATATTATAAAGAGGTAAAGTTTGTGAGTTTGTGACGAGGTAGGGGGTAATCTCTGGATCTACTGTACCGACTTAGAAAAAATTTGGTAAGAAGATAGTTTGAAATCCTGGGAAAGACATAGAATCGTTTTTATCTCGGAAAACATCCCTTAAGGGGGTGAAAATGGGGATGAATATATTAGTACATATATAGAAATACTATTATATATTAGTAATAATGTTGGGTTTAATTTACAAAATTCTTTCATCAATCAATGTTCTTCTTTCATGGAATATTTATTTTTAAAATAATAAGTTTTCACTGATAAATCATTTTACAATATCTGTAATCCAAGAGGTTAGGGCCTAAAAGATGTCAGGTCGAATCGCAAATCGCTAATACAAATATGTCTACGATATAGATAAGGTGAGGCGGCCAGTATCGCTCATGCTATATATTATTAGTTAAATCTTGCTATATTTGTACGTTGTATTATATAATAATTCAGCGGAACCCGCAGCTTTGCTATAAAGGTAGGTCTCTACATACTTTCATCCCCTATTTTACCCCCTTATGGGATGGCTATCGAAAAATACTAAAACACGTGTTTATTTAATTGTATTGTATTTAATACCAAGTTTCGAGTAATTCTGATCATAAATATTTTTTTGGGTTGTATTATAACGTGTTTTCCCGTGGGAAAATCTCCTGCGGTAAAAAGTAGCATATGTCACTCTCCCTTCAACTATCTCCATACGAAATATCACGCCAATCCATCATTCTGTTTCGACGTGGAAGAAGGACCAACAAACAAACACTCTAAGGTTTTGCTTTTTAAGTTTATCTCTGTAGGTGTGTGTATTTTCTGAAAAAATACAATTTTATAAAATTAGAATTTTAGAAAATTCTTTTTCATATATATAAAAATATATATATAAAAAAAAAACAGCCGAACGAATCTCAGTCAAACAGCTATAAAAATTTAAGGAGTTTAACACATTACGTACAATGTACGAGTACGTTACGAGTGCGGCGTAAACGCTCACGCAATACTGTCTTCGTCGTGTCCACATTAATTTAGCACAAATCTATTCTCTTTAAATTTAAAAACCAACTATATAACTTTAAAATAGAGTTTAAATTTAATTAATATGTCAAAATAATTAAAAATTACAAGCAAATTCTGTGATTAAACACCGTCACGTCTTCTTACGTGCGTCAAGTAACTAATTATAACTCGGAGTCAAAGTACCCTTATCTTTGAATTAGAATAAATATTATATTTGGGGAAAATCTCACAAGTTAAAATTTAAAATCACAGTTACGATTGTTTTTGAGTTGGACTTAAACTAGACTATATTTACAGAAAATTATTTCTTCTTATGTTAGCGAAACTGTATGAAAACAAATTCAAATTCAAAATATTTTTTCAGCATTAAATTATTACAATTTTTAACTGAACGTCATGAGTCTACTACCAGTTCGGAAAGAAGAAGCCTCAGAACTGAGAAGAACTGGCGAAACTCGGTGCCAGCCGATACAAAGTAAAGCACACCGACTTCGAAAATATTTGATTAGGTATGTATAGTAAATGAAAACTACCAATCAGTTATTTTTTACTTTTTAGTGCTTTTTTTGGAAGTCGGTTTTTATTTTTTGTTAAAAAGATTTTTTGGATTTTTTATGTCTACACAATAAATATTTTGCTACAAACTTGATTTATTATTACATTCCTCCTTAAAACGAAAGGATGTTATACTCATTTTGCCTCAATGATTTTCGAAAGACGCACACCTCGTTAGCATTTTATTATTTATACAGAGATAAGATCAAGATTAAGGTTCAATTAGAACTTAATGCATTATAACTTGAAATATTTCTGATACAAGCACGAGTTAGATAAAAAAATTTAAAGGACTGAATTTGTTAATAGTTTTTATCTGTACAATTGAATGTAATTAAGGCTAACTCGAATTTATATTAATGGCATTCAATTCGATGGTAGATCAAGCCAGGTCTTTGGAAAATAAAATGTTTTTACATTTAAAAAGATATTTTTTTTAAAACTAAACGAGTTTTTAATTTTTCGATTTGTTATTAAAGATATGAAAGATATCTATTGTGCAAGAGGAATTAGTTAAAAATTAGATAATTTCAATCATTGTGGTAATTTGCGCAACTGAATGTTATAAGTTCTATTCCGGTTGTGGCAAGAGTAGAGTTGCTAGACACGACTTTGACTGCTATTCGTAAGGGCGGGAAAAGTTACTACAAGTAATAATATATATTGGAAAATAAACCACATTATTTCTGTATTTTGAAACAAATATAACTAGTAAGATATTACCTGCTCTTTACGCCATGTTATCAAAACGAAACGTAATTAATGCAACGGTCCATATTTTATGTTCACAGTAAAAATGAGTGATGAGGTGAGCGCGGTACATGAGCGCAGGGCTGGCAGGCTATATGCAAATATATTTAATATTATGATTAGATATGTAGATATATGTAAATATTTTTGTATTTTATGAGATCTTATTAAAATGTTGTGGGTAGGTACTGTCTGTAACAACTACATACATATATACCTTTGAGACGTCTAAAACCTTAGCCTCTCCCGTGACCATGATTACTGTAAAGCATTTAGAACGTCGGGAACCTAAAATCAAATAAAATCTCAAATCTGCGAAAAAATCCGTGAAGATAGTTTTAATTAAAATATGTAACTATA